GGCCGAGCGCGGACCGCGGTGACAGCGCGGCCGCCGCTGCCCCACCCGCATGGAGGGCGGCGGGGAGGCGCTGCCCGCGGACCTGCGGGACCTGGCGGGCAAGGTGGGACGGCGCCCGCCCGCCGTGCTGCTGCGGGGGCTACGGGCCGACACCGCCCCCGCGCCGCCAGCGCCGCCTGCGCCGCCCGCGACACCCGCACCGGCCCGCGGTGCCTACCCGCCGCTCGCCGAACGCCTCCGGACGCTCCGCCTCGAGCTGGTGAGTACGGCGGTGCCGGGAGCGCTGCCGGCCGCCCCCCCCGGTAACTGACCGTCCCAACCCGCGGTCACCGCAGCCATCTCGGGCAGCCGCTCGCCACCCCCGGTGACAGTCCCGGATAGCGCCCGCGCTCTGCCTGCATTTTGGAGAACCCCCCCTTGCTTCTCCGCGTGCGGGTTAACAGCTCCCAGCTCATAGCCCTTCCCTGGCCGCTGTCTGTCCCCGGCCCACGCAACATCCACCTCCCTCGGCCAGCTCCGTCCTGTCCCCCTCGCACCCCCAGGCGCCGTCGAGGATCGCGGTGTCCGGGATCAGAATTCAGGGCAGGGACCTTCGCCAAGGGCATGGTGGTGGATCTTCCCTCCCCCAGGTGTGACCCCCAGAGTGACAAGGCACAGACATCGCTGGGAGCTTTCCCGGGGTTCGATTCATGGGGGAACTCCTCGGGTGACTCGTATAGGGCTGTGCTGCGGTGGCAGCCTTTCCCGGGAGTGCCGATGGCCGCTTCCCTCTTTCGTGGAGGGAGCAAATACCGGCGATGCCTGCGCCTCCGGGAAACGTGGCGAGGTTGGGCAATGGGTTCAAGTGCGGCTGGGGGAAGGGACTCTCCCACGCATGAACATGCCGAGCGGATGGGAATGAGCATTGTTTCCATAGGGAAACGGGCTAAATACGCCTGCAGCCCCGCGTGCCCTCGGGGGGCTGGGGCACCACCCAGCCTGAGCCCTCCACTTTGGCTGATTCAATATTCCCATCGGTGCAAGAGCTTTCATCCTCCCTCCGCACCGGCTTGTAGTCTGCACCCTGACCGGAGGAGAAAGGTCTCTAGGGCACTGCGCTGTTCGCCCTGCCCAGGTGCAAGCAGCCTCAGCCTATGGCCAGCAAGACCTGGCTTGGGCCGAGCATTATTCATCTTGGCTCAGAAATGCATTTCTTTGCCCTGCCCTGGCTCTTCTGGCTGGCCAGTGAGGAAATGGGGACACCTCACATCCAGATCAGCAGCTTGGGATTGGAACCCAGGTGCCAAAACCTAGCACAGGGCTCCCCTCATCTCCCCGTCCCCATGAACAGGGACCAGAATTCCCCGCCCTGCCCCAAGCAGCAGGAAACCAGGAAACCCAATGCTCAGAAGATAAGCTGGCTAGAGAGTGGGCGGTGGGAGGAGAATTTAGCAAATTCCCACTCTCGCCTCCTGATCTGAGGAGGAAGATTTATCCCTAGGGCTAGATATCTTGAAAGGAGAAGGCGCCTGAGGTTTCTTGCATGCTGGGGTGGGGAGCAGAGCTGTATCTGTCCATGGAGAGCATGAGGAGGAGTGTTACAGTCCCCTGTACAGCTGTCCTGTCCTTGGTGCGAGGTCGTGCAGTGAACTTCAGTGCATCTGAGGGAGTACAGAGAGCAGTCTGTGCTGGGTCTCCTCCCACAATAACCTCGACTTGCTGGAGAGGGGTTTCTTGGAGTGCAACGGGGAGGGCAGGCTGTCGTGAACTAGCAGCAAATTGACGGCTAACTCCTTCCAGCAAGCAGTATGGAAAGTGGGGAGTGTTATCCCACCCTCTCCTTTTGGGTTGGCTCCCCTGGCATCTCTGACAGCTGCAGTTCTGCACGAGGCAGAGAAAAATGGGGAACCCCCACTAGGGGCTTCCAGCCCTCCTCCTCCTCCGTCGTCTCCCTGCCAAGGCCAGATGCTTTAGCAGTGCGTGCAGAAAAGTCCATTGTAGGCAGTTTTTTAAATATGTTGCCTAGAAAGGAAATTTCTGCACTTGGAAACTGGCTCCTGCCCCAATCTGGGCACATCCCTGCTATTTTTTACTTAAATCCAGTTTGAGGAGCATGAGGAGGGGGTGGGAGGGCTGGTGTTGGATCTTTATAAATCTTTGACCTTTTTTTTTTCCTGTCATCTGGAGTGAGAGGTGTCATGTGCTGAAATCCTGGCTGGAGTTTTCCCAGGCTCCTTCCTTGGATGCTTCTATGGCTGTGCTGGCTGTGGGACCGGAGACAGGGGTCTCAGGAGGCTGTGGGGTCACCGTGGGCGGGCAAGGGACTCCCAGGGTACCGGATGCTGAGGATCGGGCGCTGTGCTTAAAAAAACGATCCCTGGGGAGCGCACGGATTTCTGTCACAGCTTGCTGATGCTGGGCACAGGATGTTTGTGAAGGAGTCCCTGGGCATCTGCAGCCTGCAGGCTGCCTGTACGTGCCCTGCAGTGGGTTTTCTCCCTTTCCCCCCATCGTGGCCTTATTTCCTTTCCTGGCAAAATATTTGTGTCCTGTGTAGGGGAAATCCAGTGGCTTTTGGCGGCCAGTATCATACAGACAGGAATGTCTTGGCACATGGGGCTTTCCATTAGGAAAACAGATGTTTCTGCAGCAACTGAGGTTTGCAAAGAGCTTCCCCAGGCTCGGAGGGGCAGGAGTCAGTGAGGCGAGTGGTGTGATCAGCAGTGCCTGTCCTCCTTGTCCTCCTATTTTGGGAGTGATTTGGGTCTCCACATCCTGCCATGTGACATTGTCACTAGGCTTGGTTTGTACCCTAGAAGGTGAGAAGTAAAGGCATGAAGGGACCAGCCTGGGCGGTCCAGCCAGGCACTTACACTGAGCAATGTCTGATCCTCTTGCCCTGCCAGCAGCCTCCCAGCTCTTGGAGGATGCTCTGGGATCAGATCTGCATCCAGTACCTCCAGTTCCTTGCTTACTCCATGTTCTCATAGAAGATAGCAATACAAATGCCCGGGATTTATTTCTCTGAGGGGGTTGGTGGCTGGTGGGAGCCATAAGTTGTTAGTTGCCAGTGGCTGTGTCCCCAGGTCTTGGACAAGGCCCCCTGGGCTGGTTCCCTGCAGGGTGTTCTCCCACACCATGCTCTTCATCAAGCAGCTTAGGAGACCTGTGGCCATCACAGTGACACCTCTGCAGGGCTGGGCAGGGACATGGGACCCCTGGGTCACCTGAACCCCCTGTGCTCTCTCTCCCCCCAGGCTTACCTGCGAGCGGTGGATGTGAAGATCCTGCAGCAGCTGGTGGTGGTGAACGAAGGCATCGAGGCGGTGAAGTGGCTGCTGGAGGAGCGGAGCACCCTGACCAGCCGCTGCAGCAGCCTGGCCAGTAGCCAGTACAGCCTGGTGGAGAGCCAGGAGGCCTCACGGCGGGGCAGCTGGGACAGCCTGCAGGACCCCAACGACAGGCTGGACAGCATCTCCGTTGGCAGCTACCTGGACACCTTGGCTGATGACATGGATGAGTACTCCCACAACGCTGCTGAAACTGCTGCTGCATCCACATCGGGCAGAGCCCTGGCCAGGGCAGAGCAGGATTGGGTCAGGATTGACCCCGAGAGGGGGCTTGCAAAGCAAGAGAAGGACAAAGAGGAGCATGAGTGGCCCCATGTGGACCTCTCTCCACCTGGGTTGCCCCAGGATCACCACTTTGCTAAGGAGCCCCAGGTGGCCAATGGGTATTTGGGCCAGCAGTCCCCCTCTCTGGAACCAGACAGAGACACCAGATCACCACCAGGGGCCAGGGAGAGGCTGGGGAAGGGAAATCCAGATGGGAAGGCTTGGAAAGCTGAGGCTGACCTTGAGAACTGCAAACTCAACAGCAAACTGCACCTGGAGTACGATGCCCACTGGCGCTGGCTCCAGTCACAGGATGATGTGACATTCTTATAGCCCGTGGCTTTGCCTTTCCAGTCCGGCTCTCCCAGCTGCCTACTCTGCTTCACTTGTCTTTGCTTGGGAGAGTTGGGGTGGCTGGAGAGGGGGGCCAGGCTGGCTTGGTGGTGGTGCACTGTTTCTCTGATGGCCCCCACAGCATTTGGTGATGCAGCCATAAGGGACTGGGTGCCTGCCCTGCAGCACATTTCTGGGAGAGGAGGGGTGAGGTGGGTCCTGTTAGATTTAATCCTTTGCTCTAGGGTGTTGATTGCAGGTGGCCGGACGCCCCTCTGTTGTCCTTGGTGGTGGTGGGGAAACCTGGAACAGTGGTGTTCCTGAGATCTCTCCTAATCATTAGCTTCCTGTGTACAAAAACTGGGGACCCTTCCCCCAGAATAACTACCCTGAGAGGACAGGAGACGCTGCCATGCATCCAGAGCTTGGTGGCACCAGCATGCTCAGTGTGGGGCAGGACCATCAGCAGGGTATCCCTGTTGGATCTGCTCATTTCCATCATTGTCTTCAAGGCCAGTGTCCATCCACGGCAGAGTAGTAGACCTGGCCCCAGCACATGGTGGATGCTAAAAAAACCCTTCCTTGTGGTTGATGCCCTGCCTGGTTTAGATGCCTCTGTGAAGCCACTCTGAGATGGGGCTGGGGAGCCTCTGTCCATACCCTGCAGAGGAAGGATGGTGGTGCAGACTTCCCGATGTGATGACATGAGAACGACAAAGCACTGGGTGGGATATGGAAATGCAGTTCTCCCAGTTTGTTCCTGGATTGTCTTCTTTGGGAGCAGTCCTGCAGAATCCCTGGGATGTGGCAGTGGACAGGCAGCCTGGCAGAGCCTGCAGGGCTCAGACGCAGAGAGGCTCCTGCTCTCCCCTGGCACGGTGTGAGGTGGTGAAGGCTGGATTTCTCTGGCTGTGTGATGAGTGGTGCCAGGTCTGTGTCTCCTACCAGCAACCAGAAACACGAGGCTGCTCGTTGGGGTGGATTTGCATTGATTCTGCCCTGGAGACATCTCTGTCTTTTTAGCCTTGGCTTCTGCCTGTGCCTTTTGCTGTCCCCACCATGCCTTCCAGCATGCCCCTTGCTAGCTTGTAGAGCATGGCTTGTAGCTGGAGCTGTGTGAGAGCTTGGGCAGAACTTTCTTCCTTCACCAGATGATGCAGGAAAGGACCTGAGCATCCTGATTCAAGGAGCCAAGCTCTTCCACATTTGTGAATAAGCCTGGAGTGTCCTGACTTCAGAACCCATGGGTACATCTGTCCCCAGCCAAGTGCTGTGACAGCTTTGCTCTCACCATCATGCTGTTGTTCCCTTGTCTGCGTGGGTCACAGCTTGGATCTGTCTGTGCTGGGATGATAGGAGTGGGGACATTGTCTCGTGAGGTCAGTGGGAAGCTAAGAGAGAGGGAGGTGACTGGCTGTGACTTTCTGGATAGGAGATGTGAGCTGGCTGTGGTTAGGAAGGTGGCGGGGTGCACAATAGGTTTGGCTTGGTGTCTGTGAAGCAGCACCTTCAGTGGAAATTACCCTCTGTTCTGAGAGCCCTGAGCACCCTCCCTTCCCCTGCAGATCCTCAGAAGATGGTACCTGCTGAGGACTTGGTGAATCCTGGCAAACTGGGAGTGGGTTGCCCTATGCAACAAGCATCCTTCTGCCTGCCCTGGAGCAGCTGTGCTTGGCTTGCCTTTGCCTGCGAGTAGCTTGTGGCTTCCTATGTGGCTGTGCTGCTGACACTGAGCCACCATGTCCCCAAGGCTGGCTGTCCCCTGCTTTCCTGCTAACCCTGCATGCAATGAATCAGCTGAGGGTCCCTGGGGGAGACAGGGTGAGTCCTTTGGCGCTGTTAAAATCATTCTCAACAAAAAATAGCTGGCTTAATAAATGTTTGTGTTTCTCCCAGGCCACGCTGTCGGTGCTTTGCCGAGCTCACCGGTGTTTCTAGGGCAAGGGGAGAGGCTCTGGGATGGAATGCCCTGGAGCCTCTGGCAGCCCTGCAGAAGGACAGGTTGAGCCCCAGCCCTGAAACAGGCACAGTCCTAATATCTGGGCATCTGTTCCTTCTCACATCAGTGATAAAAGTCACTTTTCCTGAAGCAGCTGGGTACCAGGGCACATCTGCTGGGAGCAAGGGTGACTGTATTGATCTCAGCTGGACTATGTGTCAAACAGCACCTTCGCCCTTCCTGCCCCATATTTCCAAGGAAAATAATTTTAGGTGTTTGCCAGCCCTGTTAGCTGTGCTGGAGTCTTTGCTTCCTGTGTTTTGCAGTGGCAGCTTTGGCTCCTGTGGCTTCCTCCACTCAGGAGGTGCAGTGTGGATCTGGGTGTAGAGCAGAGGCTTCTCCAGTCCAGCTGGGGTGGGAGCAGCACAGCTCTGATATCAGACAGTTGGGATTTGCTCCTGGGTGGATCCCTTTAAAACCACTAGAGCTGGTGCTCATGCAAACATCAGCTTTTCCAAAGCAAATGCAATCGGCTTATCCAGCCCTGCCATCCCAGCCCCAGCATCCCTTCCGGCTCACAGCTTTGACATTGTGAGCTTTTGAAAATGGGGAATTGGATGCTGGAGCCAGCAGGACTCAGCAGGATTTCCCCAGTTTCTGCTGGGCTGAGGTAAAAAAACAGAATCATGAAGAAAACCTTGGAAATAAAATGCCTGTTCCTCTTAAAAATCTAGACGTCAGCAGTTGGGCAGCCCTGTATTGCTGCAGAAGAACTTTTGCTGGGGCTTCCCTGGGCATGGACTCTTCAGTCTGGCTTACATCAGCCCAAGGTTCCCATAGTCCCAAAATCTGTGCATCTTCCAAATCCCAGTCCTTGGAGCTGGAGGGGTGGATGGGACCTTGTGGTTGACTCCCTGCTCTGTCTCTGGGCTGCCTGGATGAGGGCTCACCCACCTTTGGGCTTTGCCCAGGCACGTACAGAGCCCACGTCCCAAACCTCCCCTGGGGAAACACCCTGGGGACCTATGTCTGGCTGAAAGGTGAGTGCAGGGCACCTGTGGGTGGGAAACAGCCCACAGCACGGATCCACAGCCTCCCTCCTGGTCTGCCTGGCCCTCAGCCTGCCTGCTGCCGCCCTTGAGCTGCTCTTGGGCTGTTCAGTGCCGGTATCAGGTAAGAAAACAAGCAGATAAAGCAGGCGGGATCCCAGCCGTGCCAGAAAACACCCACCTCTGTTACAATAAAAACACCAGCAAGCCAATTTTTTTTTCCAGATATACACAGAGATTAGACTGCCTTAACGAGGCAGTAAAACACTTCAATAGCTCTCCTTGCTTGTTATTAAAATGTCCCCTGGGCTTTCCCTTCCCTGCGTGCGGCTCAGCTCCAAAAGGGCCTGTCCCCAGAGCAATGCAGCCATTTAAGTGATTTCTGTTAGTTCCTGTGGGGAGGAAGCATGAAAATCTTTTCTCAGGGGAAAAAGAGCATGGTCCCCATGGTCGGAAAGGGAGGTGGCCAAACTCCGTGGCCTTTGGTGGCCCTGTGGCCCCACACCACCCCGTGGGCTTGCTGGCATGGGGAGCATCACTGTGGGGTGACCCTGGCAGTGGGTGCAGGGGGTGCAAGCACAGCCTGTGGGGCTGGATCACGGTGCCTCCACCCTCCTCTTATCTGGAGATTGATGCTCCCTGTTGACCCTTGTACTGTTCCTGTGCAACTCCCACACAGCCCGGTTGTCTGTAACCCTTTCTGAGGAGCAGAGCTCTGGCTTTGTGCTGCCTGACCCATTGCACACAGTGTGGGGCAGGAGAGGCCAACAAGTGGGATAGGAAAGGCTTAGTGTAGCCCCCAAACCCTTCTCTCAGCCCACTCTGTTTTGGCAGTGGGGATGTTCTGATGGTCTCCTGGGCAAGGCTGAAGTGTTGGTGCTGGTTGCAGCTGAGTGGTGATCCGCAGATCCCCAGGGAGAGCTCCATGATGCCAAAGCTGCCACCAGTTTAGGACAATGGAATTCAGTCACTCCTCTGGAGCGTGGTACCCAGGCTGGCTCCATCACCTAGCTCTCGTCCAGCCAGCAGCCCTCACCCAGCCTGCTCCCCACAGCGCCCAGGAACCCCCAGTACTGGGTTAAATCAGCCCAGTGTAGGATTCTTGTGTCCTGAGTTTCCAGATGGCCTCCAGCTTTTCCTTCCACTGCCCCAGGTTCACAGGTCTCCAAAGGAAGACAAGAGACACCCCCCTCCCTGTGCCTGTCTTCTGCTGAACCTCTACTACACCCTGGAGAGCCCACACGGGACAGGGAATGCTCTGCCCAGGGAAGCTCAGACATCAAGTGGGGTTTCCTGGTAACCTCCTGCCTCCTCTCCACTTTTGGGAACCCCCTCCTGAGATTCTTGGAGTCTGCAGCTGAGTGATTGTGAGGCTGCTGAACAGGGGTACAAAGTCAGAGTGTGAACCAGGAACAAGCTGAGCCTTTGGGAAATGCCTCCCCAGGCTGTTTGTTCCCTGCCAGGGGCTGGCAGCAGGCCAGGCCTTTGCTTTGGAGAATAATCTGGCTTTAGAGCTCCCCAGCACTCCTTGGGAGTGAAAAACAAGTGTGACTGCTCAGGGCCTCGTGGGTGTGTGGACATGGGTGGGTGACAAGGACAGGCTCAGGGCTCCATTCCCTGCCTGTTCCAGCCCAGCCAGGGCTGGGAGAAAGTGGTGGCACAGCTCTCTCCTTCCTCCTCCCTGGGTGCTGGGCACCCACGCTGACCCATCAACATCCCTGAAATGCCACCTTCTTCCCACTTCATCACCCATCACTGAGCAAGGATCCCCCTACACCTCCCACACAGGACTTGAATGTGGGGACATCCTGCTCAGTGCCACCCCAGGGGTGACAACCAAAACCCCTGTGTGCCCAGGAGATGTGTGCTCCTGCCACCAGCTCTGCATTGGTCCCCAACGGGGAGCAGCAGTAAAATCTGAATTGCTCTTCTGAGAAATTAATCTTCTTTACCTGTCTTAGCTCAGTCTGACCTAGAAGAACCACCACCCCCCGGGTTGTTTTTTTTTCCTCCCTGTGGGGTGTTTAAAGGGAAAATTACAGCAAATGTATTGCAAAGAAGCTGTAGGAGACAGGGGCCAGACCTCCAGCAGGGCAAAGTGGGCAGGCAGGGCTGGAATGGCATTAGGCAGGATTTGCCAGGCTGCCCCTCCAGCGAGACCCTCTGATCTGAGGTGAGTGGGCAGAGAAAATGTAATCTGCCTAACCATGGGCAGTAAAGCACAAATAGTAAAAGGTCAAGAGCTGTGTTGGATTCCTCCTGGCAGGGTGCAAAGTCAAGGGGACTTTTGGAGCTGCTGGAGAGAGAAATGGCAATAGGAACAAAGCAGCTGCAGTGCCCATGGTGGCTGTGGTCCTGGGGTGGTGACAGGAACTGGGGCTGAGTGGAAGGACAGCACCGGCCACCAGGACAGGGACAGCAGGTGACATACACCTGTCCCAGAACCTGCTCCTGCCCCACACCAAACCTTCCACTGCCCCACTTCACATCCCTTTTCCTCAGTCCTCTGCATGCCCAGGGATGAAGCCTGGATGCCTCAAATGCCATCCATGGCATTGCAGGCACAGGGTGGGTCAGGGAAACCAGGCACCCCAGCACCAAAGTGATCCTGGCAAACTGCTGAAGCTCACGTCCTGGGGGCTACATCCAAAGAAAGGCTTCCTCAGCCTTTAAAGCTCATCAGCTGCCCTGTGAAGAACTCTGCTCCTGGGCTGAAGGGCCAGGAGCCCCTCCCCTGCTCCGTCCCTGCCTCAGCTTCCCTTTTGTAAAGTTGGGGGAGATAGAAAGGAAAGAAACCCCCAGTCTCCTCTTGTGCCTGAGGACTTTCTTGTGGCTGTGCTGTGGGGTTGGTTCCTGTTCCATAAGTCTTGGAGGAGATCAGGGAGGCCAGGCAGTTGTTCTGGTTCTCATCCATGTGTCTCTGTATGACTGCCTGGCCCTCCTTGTCACAGTGCAGCACCTATGGCTGTCCCACACCTTCTGTAAAGAGGTCTTGAGTCCAGAACCACTCCCAGTTGGAGTCTGTGCACTGGGAGAGAGGCAATGCTGGGAGCCAAAGGGTTTTGAGGCGGTTTTTGGGCAGCAGCCCCCATTTTGGAGGCTCAGCCCTGTGTCTCGGGGCAGGAGGTGCAGGCAGTGTGAGCAGCAGGGATTATGGCTGCTATAAAAAGCACCAGCATCTCTCGTCTCTGCTCCCTAAGGCGCTTAGGGGAGGAAGGAGGGAATTAAAGAGCAACCTTCTGCACGGAAGAGGTGCAGGGGTGGGAGCAGTCAGAATAGCCAGGCATGCTCATGACACCCCTTCCTCCTCAGCATCCCCAAAAATCCTCCCTTAGGCAAAGACGCCCCCTCCCATGCTCTTCCTGGGTCCCTGCTATTGGATTACCAGAAACTTGTCCCATGCTCAGAGGTTGTGGGAGGCAAGGAGAGGGCTGAGGGGGACAGCTGAGCCTGGAGAGGGGGTCCTGGTGGGTGAGAAGAGCACATGAGTATTCTGCACCATTTGCATGTCCCAAATAAAAACGTGGAACACTTCCCCATCCTCACAGCCTCAGTCATCTGCCTGGTCCTGTCCTGCCACCCTGCTTCAAAGGTCCTCTGAGGGAACTGGAGATGTCCTCCAAAATGCAGTCAGCTGCATGGGTGCATGGCTGGACAGAAAAACACTGAATTCTTGGAGGGGCAGGGGTTGTTGCAGCCAAAAGCCATGCTCTGCCTCCAGTGTCTGGAGGGAAAACGGCTCTGTGGTTTTGGGACTCTCTGACAGGCTCACAGTCAGCCTCAGAGCTCAGCACTAGTGTGGGGTCTGGTGACATGTTTGGGGACAGAGTAGGGTGAAGGCAGGTGCCAGATGATGGCAATGATGCAGGGATGGGGGTGTGAAGGAAGGTGGTGTGGCAAACAGCTGTCCTCTGTGGTATTGCCCCGTTCATGGCAGGTTCCAGTGGGGTCAGCTCCAAAAGCAGCCACGGGGTCCCGCAGAGCTCTGGTGCCAGCCCTGGCTCCTGGTGCTGGCCCGGTGTGACCCTGCAGCTCAGGGAGGTGCTTGCTGAGGTTGGTGTTTCCCCTCACCACGGACACTGCCCTAACATCGCCCAGTGCTTGGTCAGCCCTGGAGACGGACACAGCACCAGGATCCCTCCTGGCACCCCTGCAAATGGGGGGCTTCACTGAGGGGAGGGTGCTGAGGGCATTTCCTTGCCAGCCCCTTCCCAGAATGGCTCAGTCTGGCGGACCCCGGTGGCCACAGGAGGGAGCTGGGCTCCTTCCTTCTGCTCCTGCTCAGAGGACAGTGGCCTCGGGTGGGTGACAGCCACGGCAGCCATGGGTGAGAGTTGCTGCTTGGTGCAGGAGCACCTCTTGGGGTCAAACCTCGTCATGTGGGACCCCAAATGTCTCAGGAAGGGAGCAAGAGCCCGGCTGGAGTGGAGGTGGCTGCCTCCATGCTCAGGGAAGCCTCCACCTTATTTCCAGCAGCTGATGGGGCTGCAGTGCAGATGAATCCCTGAGTTGTTGCTGCAGCCAGGGGGGGCCCAGGGGTGCCCAGTGAGTGGCATGTCGCCATGGCAGGGACCAGGCTGTGAGCAGTGTCAGTGTGAGACACAGTGTCCCATTGTCCCTCCTGAGCGGTGGCCAGAGGCACCTGGGTGACCCTGATGTCCAGCCTGCTGATGCTGAAAGAGCAGGGGAGCAAGCAAACCAGCCCCTCCCTGTACAACCTCCTGTCCCCCAGGAATCTGGACCTTCCCAGTTTTTCCCAGCCCACAGCCAGCTCCTATGCTGTAACCTTATTCCCAGGGGCTGACAGTTTCTGCTGGGATCATGCCCCAGCATCCCCCTCGTGCTGCTAGGGCATCGCTGTCCAGCTCCCCTCCACAGCCCCAGCAGCACAGGGGAAGCCTGGCAGGTGCCAGAGCAGCCAGGCTACAAACCCAGCACCGAAAAAAAACGGAGAAAAATGATGGTGGCAGAACCCTGTCTGATTGGAAATGGTTAATTACGAGGGGGAGGTCTGAGCTACTGTCCTCCACCTTGGCTTACTGAAAAGCCAACGAAACCCCAGCATGGGACTGCTGTAATGGCTCTCATTAAAGCTGTTGGAGCAGGAGTTTGAAACCACATCCATTTTCCTTAACCACTTTCAGAAGGGGAAAATGCTGTTCTGGCCACTGCTATTTGTGATGTGCTGGGTACTTCAGGCTGGGAAAAGTCAGGACTTGTCTCCCTGAATGCAGAGGCAGAAGCCTGGACCATGGCCTTTTCTCAGGACTGGCTCTGTGGCACATCAGTATAACCTTTTTTTTAAGTTCAGGGAAGATGTAGAGGATAAAGGTATCTTCATAAGGGAGAGGCACAAGGAATGAGCTGGTCCCAGTGCCTCCACTCTGCTATATTAAATAATGGATCCTGGTTTAAAAACCCTTTGTGGGGTAAGAGTTGATCTTAAAATAGCAATGAAGCCGTCAGGATGCTCCTTTTTCCACGTGGTTTGGGAGCTTGCCCCTCATGTTTGCTGTTGCTGGCCTCCCCTGAGCCCCTTAACAGTGAGGAGCAGGGATGTGCCTGGAGTTACAATTGGGAAAGAAAGTCTTTGGGCAGAGAGAAGGGCAGTTTTGGTTGGTGGTGCTCTGGCTGGGAAGAGGAAGGCATCCAGGGAGAAGAGGGAGGTCTCCCTGCTCCATCAATGCATGTGGGGCTGACCCCAGCACAGAGCCAGCACGCCTTAGGGTGACAGGAAGTTTGGGGGCGATGTAGGAGGTGGTCCCGCTGGGATGAGTCTGAAGGATGCAGACATATAAGGGCTATTTTACCCCATGAAGAGTTTGGATTTCATGCAGATGGGTCCCTGTTCTCCCCTCCAGTGACATTCCTCAGAAAAAGGGATTGTACCCGGTTCCAACAGGGCTGCTCCCTGTCAAGCAGAGATGTGGTGCAGGGAATGTGACGGCCCTGGCTTGGCTACAGGCATAGAGAATAAGGCTCCCTGGGAGGTTTGGGCTGTCACTCTGCTGTCCCAGAGCCACAGGACACACCTGCTGAAAGGGGCTGTGAGCTGGAGCTGCAAAACTAAAGGCAGGAGTGATGGCCCAGGCAGATCACCACTGTACAGGGGGATTTGGCCCCTACTGACCTTTCTAGGCCTTTCTGCAGCTCCCAGCTCCCTGCTGTGTCCTGGGCCTGTCCCCAGAAATGCAGACACCCACATTTCTCTGCAGCCTCCTTGTCTCCTTTGCCCTTTCCCCCACCCCATTCCCACGCCACTGGACAGCCACATGCCAAAGGAGCGCCCGGCCTCCCTCCAGCTCATTCCTCTTGCAAGCTTTGTTTGGTGGGTGTATTTTGCATTTGCTTTTTCTTTTTTGCTATTCACAGGGAAAAAAGAGGGGGCCACAAACCCAACGGCAGATGTCAGGACAGGGCTGACAAGCCTGGGAGAAGGGGTGATGCCACCCACCCTGGAAAGGTCCTTAGAGGCTGGTAAAACCAGGGGGAGAAGGGCTTTGCTCCACGGTGCCAGCTCTGCCCATCCCTTCCTCTCCCTGCCCGGTCCTGCAAGGTGGCTGCTGCACTGTTCCACTGCTCCATCCTTCCGCTGCATCCCTCTGCTCCATCCCTCCTCTCCATCCCGCTGCTCCATCCCGCCTGGCCCGGACGTGGCACGGGTCACGTCTGCTGTGGCAAGTGGCAAGTCTCGCTGATGGCAATGACCACGTCCTGGGGGTGGCGCTCCCGGTGCCGCGGTGCCTCGGGCATCTCGCTCATCTCGTTGACGCTGTTGCTGATGCAGTTGATGTCGCTCTTGTTGCTGTTGTCATCCGGGCTGGGGCCAAAGATCCAGTCTGGAGCAGGGAAAAGCACAAAACAAGCCCCTGGTTAGCTCTGGCTGTTCCCAGAGTTCAAGGTGGCTTGAAAATTTCTGCCTCTTTCTACACCCTACCTCTAGCTCTGAGTGCTTGCCCCTCCAGGAGTGTCCCTTGCCCACCCCTGCCCCTTCAGCTCCCTCCACTCCCCTCGTGCTGGGATCTCTGCTCTTCCCAGCTCTGGGCTGGTTTTCAAGCTGCTGGTTTCTGGAAGCCCTCCTGGCTTAGGCAGATGAAATCACCCTGTTAATCCCAGAAATGAGAGTGAAGTGCCTCCAAAGTGAAGTGCGCATCTGGGGTCTCTAGCAATGTATTTCCTAAAGTGGGTTTTTGCTGTCAGACAGAGTAAACAATTAAATAACAATGTGACATCCAAATGGTGCTGGAGACATGGCTAGGACACAGCATTTTCTGCCTTGAGAGAATATTACAGCCATGCCAGGGCCTCAAACCCTCCACGGAAGATTTGGGGCTGTGCTTCTGGCTGGTCACCAGAGCATCAGGACCTGGCTCTGAGCTGATCCAGCCACTGCCACAACCCTGGGGGTGACTGATCCCCCTCCAAAACAGTGTCACTGCTGGATGACAGCGTGACTGAAACATCCCATGCAGCAAAAGGGGTTGAGGCTGACTGAAAGCAGGTGCTGCTGCTTCCTAAATAGCTATCTTTTAAAAAATGTGGCTGTTATGGCAGTGAGAGGCCATGCCCTGCTGAGATGGGGAGGCACCAACAATGAGGATACCAAAGCTGGGGAAACCCAGGCCAGGGGAGAGTAGCCCCAAGACCTTGTGGCTGTGGGTAGTGGAGTACCAGCTCCTCTCTGCTTTAGCTCTGCTACCAAAATAAAGCAGAGGTGGTTCTCAGGAGGCAGAGAAAAGGACCAGCCTGGTTTTGTTGTTCCTGAGGAGCTCTGCTTATTTGCCACTGGATCTCGCAGAATACAATTTCCCTCCTTTGTGGTTTGGGGTATTTTCTGTCCCCACAGGACATTCCAGTTATGGCTCTTCAGTAGAGGACAGAGGCTTCCTGATGGAGCAGGGATACAAAAATGCCATCCCAGTGAGATGATGTCTTTCTCCTGGGCTGTAGAAAAAAGTTTTGCAGCAAAACTGGGACTGGATGATTGCAAATGCCAGGGTGGAATGCCAGGTATGAAGTGAATGGAAGATCTCATTTCTCAGCTCACCAGTGGTGTCCAGACATTTCTTCAGGTGTGATCAGAGACACAGGAATGGCCTGTGGGCCTCCCTGTGCTCAGTGTGTGCACTGTAGGTCAAATTTTGGGCTTTTTTGAGAGCCACTCTGCCAGGGGAGCTGGACAGGGAGTGGAGGGGGTTGTGCCCCACTGCCAGCATGGGCTGGCTGGAGGAGGGGGCTGTCTCCAAGGAGGGTAGAGCTCCCATCACACTGGGCACAGGCAACATATTCCAAGAGTGACTGTTTTTCCTTGGTTTTCCTATTTTCTTCACCTTCATCATTGCACTAGCAGGGTTTGCTGGTTGTCCAACAGGAAAGGCAGGAGAAGAACCACAGTTCTCTCAGCCACCACAGTGCTGGCAAGAGTGATTAGGAAACTTGGCAAAGAATAGGTCCAAAGGTTTTTGGGGAGCCCTGTGTCTGCCCCGAGTCCCAACCAGGACATTTAGCTTTCACTGGCATAACCCACAGCCCCCTCCAGAGACTGGGTTCCCCATCACAATCCTTCCCCAAGGAAAATCAGCCAAGCCCAGAAGGCTCATTTAGGGCTTTTTTTTCCTTTATAGCTTTGATTTGGCTTAGATTTACTGAGTTTAAACTAAAGACCACCACCCTCTTCCTGGTCTGGCCCTGTCTGATCCATCCCAGACAGAGCCTCTTGCCCCCAAGACCTCGCAGCTCCTCCAGCCCCCACACGGTTGCTTGCCCTGAGAAGAATCCGAAGGCAGTAACAAGATTGCCTCCTACAAATACTATTAAAGTTCTCAGCTTGCTTTCCTTGACGTCAGCCGTAAAACTCCAGTGGGAGCAGCAGGGAAGAAGGGGAATAAACTGTAGAAAAAAGGGGTGATGGGTCCTCAAATATCCCGGGAGCCACTGGATAAGTGCAACAGGAAATAAAGAGCATTGCATGCCTGTCAGTAGGGGTAAGTGGCATTTGGTGGCCAGATGATGAACCAACCCCTGGTGAAATTTGTGGGCAGAAGAAGAAGAAGCAAGAGCTGGATGAGGCACTGTGGTAGAGGCAGGAATGCAGGGAATGAGTGTTTTGGGAGAGCACCAAAGGCACCAGCAAAAGCCATTTGCATGGGAAAAGTGTCACAGTGCATTGTCACCAAAGGGGATGTGGCTGGCCATGGTGCTGGGGAAGGTGGCTCGTGTCAGGCTGCTGCAGTCTGACTCCTGGTAAGAGCAGGCTGGATTGTACGCGCTAATCCGAACCACTGCTTCCCTGGGAATTATTTCTGGAGCCTGCTGGATCTAATTACCCAGTAATCTGCAGGAAGATGTAATTAGGCTGTCATTAGAGGGTATTTACTGCGATGCCTTTATGATTTGACTGTGTAAGTAAGGAGTGAAGTAATTACACAATTACATGTTATTTGTGGCCATTTATGGCCTGTAACTTCAGCGTGTTGCCATGTGTGGAAGAGGGGAGCGAGGCCCTGTGGAGCTGGCAGAGGATCTCCTGCCAGCAGGACCCTGGAGAAATAACCATAAAAATGTCAGCGCCCTCATGTCCCCTGCCAGCCACTGCCAGCTCCGTCCCAGCCACGCTCGATCCTCCCCAGTTTCTCCCTCTGGCTCCTCTCAGTTTGTGGGTGAGAAACCAAGGTCTCCTGGGGTCGTCCATGGCGTGTCTGGGGAGGGATGAGGGAGAAGAGAGAGGAAAGATGCACATCTTTGGCGTCAATGGGATTAAACCTCGCTCTGATGCGGAAGGAAATTTGCAGGGGATAGGAGACACAACCTCACGTCATGCGCAAGCACAGGCTGGAAACCTTGGATAATGAACTCTGCAGGGGGGTGTAATCAGGTGATAGGGGTGGCCAGGGGCTGGGAGCCAAGGGGTGGTGGTCACTGGCCGAAGGGAGCTGCAGCCCTCAGCATCATGTCACGTATTTCTCTCTATATCCCTTACAGCTGGCAGGAGGGGATGCATGAGCTACAAAAAATAGACACAGCGAGGAAAACAAAATCCTCTTTTGGATCTAAGCCTACATATGTGTTCACACAATCTCCAGCCAGAAGGTGAGCAAAGTTAGGCTGAACCTAATGACACCTAATGGACCTGGGACAGATGAGGGCAGAGCTGGGGCAAGCAGGAATCACACAGTGTCCACATCCACACCCAGGACAGTCACACTTTGGAGATAAGAAAAAGCATTGCCTGCCCCTACCCAGCCACTGGAAGGAGCTTGTAACACATGCTGCAAAATCCAGGGCATGCACTCAGGTGTGTAGCCAATGCTTTGGATAAAAGAGAGAGACAAAGTGACTTTCTCAGGCAGGCTGGGGAGCAGCATCTAACCCAGAGACACCTCTTCCTGCTGGTCAGGTGCTGCCAAGGCTCAGGGTGCCTGCTGGGGTCTGCAGGGCCAATGGAGATGTGGGAAGTGCTGAGGTGGGCTGAGATTGATAGGGAATGATTGATCCAAAGCAGCTGGAGAGAGGAGATATAGAGCAGACCGGGCAAATCAAGAGCTGGGGAATAGCAACTCCGTTATTGTTATTATTGTCCCCAAGTAGCAGAGTGATTTGGCACAAAATGCCCCTGCACCTCTCTGGCTCTGTCCGAGTCTTTGGCCGCACCCCTGGAAGCAGGACCCCTGGGATATGCTCTGTTTTTGGGGACAGAAAAACACTGAGGTTGCCCAGATGTCACAGCGTGCCCTTCTCGTACCAGCATGAGGGCTGGTCCTTGCTCAGAAACCCCTGACACTGCAGGCAGCAGGGAACAGCCTCCTGTTGTCTGGGTGCAGAGGGGCACAGAGTTGCCCTGTGCCCAGTGTCACCCCAAGGGGGTGGCCAGGTCCCCTGCATTCATTGGTGGTAGGGCAGCATGTTTAAGAGTAACTTCAGCTGCCGAAAAAGAGACATCCCAAGCAGAAGAGCAGAAGGGGGTGGGAGAAAGGGCAGAAATTTAAATGCAGCCTGGTGAGTGAGACATTCACAGTCCCTGTAGAGATGGAAACAGGAAAGGAAGGGGCAACATGTTTGATGAACAATCAAACTCGTGCTCTAGTTTTGCTTTAAATGGAGCTGGGTGTGAAAGAAGATGCTAAAAAAGCTCTTTTCCCATCAGCAGGAGCAGAAATACCTCTTTCTTTGAGAGAAACTTTGACCCAGCAATCACATTGTGCTCTGCAGCAAGGCAGGGCCAGCTCTGGCTGGAGCATTCCCGATGGACATGAGTTCAAGGATATCCCTCATGTCTTTGACATGATGCAGCAGTCACAGCTGGATGTCGTATCTGTCTCATTTGCAGGACAGACTCTTTAGATTTTTGATTGGCAAAATCAACAGATAACTCCCAGGTTTGTTCTGATGGAAAATATATGTCTGCCCCTGGCAACAGTAATTTGTTAGAAATCCCCCTTTCCTCCTCAGATTCACTTCTTTCTAAATTAATTTGATGTTGGGGTTTGTTCTTCCTTCCCTGTTTTGCAGAAATTTTTCAGCTTTGCTGTGCTGAGTCAAAATTGTCCTGCATCCCAAACAGCATGAGCACTCTGCTTTGCTGAGGGACAGGTAAGGACACTGTTCCTCCACAGAGCTGTCACCAGCATAGAGCATCTGGTGGGAAAAGGGGTGACATGGAAAAGACATTCAATTAATTATGACATTCTCTTAAAAACAGCTTCTCTGCACCAGAGCAACCCTGGACCAAGTCTGCATTTGATCCCAGTCCCGTCCATCAGGCAGCATTGCTGCTCCAGAGAAGACTCTGAGAGGTGGTGACTCAGGTGTGGTAGGTGGGAGGCAGGCATGCTCCTGGGGGTGGATATTTGCTATTCGTATCTTCCAAAGGCAGAGTGAAGGTGACCAGAGAGTGAGGAGCCCTGATTGGTCTCAGCTCAAGGAAGACCAGGGCTTGCAGGGCACTGGACAAACACAGCCCTCACCCCGAGGACCTGACACCACCCATCCCTGGACCACAGGAATGGGAAGGCTGCTGTGGGATGCATCCCTGCATCCCTGAGGCCTTGGTCAATGCCCAGCAGTGTGTGCCAGAAGCTGTCCCTTTCCTCCAGCTCTGAACTCCAAAGGTTTGGCTGCAAATGCACCTGTCCTGGAGTGGGCCCTTTCTGCAGGGCCAGACCACTGTGGCTCATTGTCCAGACAACAGCCCCAGCCTGGGAGTGGGAGTGGTGAATTATCCTACAGCAGCCACTGCTTCCCTAAACAACACCTAAGGAGCTCCTGATGCTCCCCCGTGCACCAGAAGGGAAACAGGCAAGGGATCGTTGTCAGAGGTGAGTTACCACCGAGATGGGAAACAGAAGGGAACCTGACGTGGTTTCTTCCCACAGCTTTGGGAGGCAAAGGAATTATCCTCAAAACAGAGCTTGAAAAGAAGATATTTAAGTCCTCTCCGATTGGCCTAAGATGCTGTCTGCAATCCCTGCCGTGGGCTGAATTATTCTCAGAGCCCTGTGGTTCTGTGTGGAGCAATTAAAAGTGGATCCCGTGTCCCTGCAGGATCACCCAGCAGCTATTTTCAGCAATGCTACATTCATGCACAGTTTCTTTGTTCAAGGAGACCATTTCCTAAAGAAGCCTGAAATGTGGCGGTTGGAGATAAGGCTGAAAAATAAAAATATGGCTGGTGGGTCAAAAGGGCAAAGAGAAGAAAGACCCTGCTCCAAGGATGGTGCAGGGTTTTGAGCAGTCCCAAAGCCATTGACCAGCACAGCCCTGCCAGTGTCAATGAACCTGCCCTGCCTTGCCCCAGCTGGGCATCTGCCTTGGGCCCATTCCCAAGGGAAAAGTTTCCTCCAAGGTCTCCTCTGGAGATCAGCAGCCCAGAGAAGACCTTGGCTGAACTGGGTGACACCAGTCAAGGTTTCCTGCAAGGCATTGCTCCCACGCAGACCATCAGACCCTTCCCGTGTGGTTCCCGTGCAGGAGCAAGATGCTTTCCCTTTTCCCGGCGACCACACGCGTGCAGTCTCCATGGCAACAGCTTTGTTTCCAGTCAAACTTTTCATTTTTCCCCCCCTTTTCCTCTTTTTTTTTTTTTTTTAAATGTTTAAATAAGAGCGATATTCAGCGAGCTGCTGGGGACGGAGGAGGGAGGGCGGGCTGATTCCCAAGGATTGCAGTAATTAGGCGCCTCGTACATTGGTGACAGGCTTGTCATTTGCCAAGCCAGCTCCTCTCTGCAGCGCCGGCTCTGGCAGCTCTCCAGCGCTTCTGAGTTAAGCAGCTTTCCAAATGCTTCGACCCAATTTGCCTTAACTGGTGGTGGGGTCTGAGCTGTGCTCACGCAGGAGCTTCCCTCCCACCCTCCTCGGGGGCCTCGTTCCAACCCCAAGCAGAGACATCTGATGAGTTTTGGGAAAGCCAAATGTGAGACTTGGTCAGCTCGGAGCAAGCAGGAGGGACTGGAGAGAAATTAAGGTGGCCTGGTCTCTCCAGGAAGAGCTGAAGAGGGGCTTTTTCAGAGCCCTCTTATCCATATCCAGGTGCTCTGCCTTCCTACTCTCCAGCAATGCATCTTTCCTCCTTCTACAAAGCAGCCTCCCATCTTCCACTCCTCCCAGCTCGCTGGGCATCACAGCAGTGTTCATGTCCCCCTGGGGATGCCTGGGCTAGCTCTAATTGATTTTTTAAGAGGCATCTGCAAGAAAGGTGTCGATGTCTCAAATACCCGTTTAGATTTCGCAGGGAAAAACCCTTGGCAGCATCCCAAGAACCCCTTCACCATCCGAAACTGAGCCCAGTACCTGCTTCTCATTGTTCCTGTGAGTGCAGGGGGCTGGGTGATGCTTTGACTCCTCAAGCTGTGTCTGACAAGCTGTTATTGAGGAGTCATAATCATTCCTGATGCCTCCGAGTGACTGTTTAAAGCAGCGATTAACTATTCCCACTTTAATCTCCCTGAAACAGGCTCCAGCCCCTTGGCATCTTATTTCCATCTCTCTCTGTATATTTCTGAACATGATTAGTGCAGAAACGCTGATAGCAGAGGCTGGAGCTGCTGCTACAGTATATAAATCCAGGCATTGTGTTAAAGCAGCTAATAGAGCAGCTTCTTATTTACTATCCCTTGGTCTCTCTGTCCTGTCCCTAAAGTAATTTTATGTAAACTCATTCAAATGAAACCTTCTCTTTAAGGCTTTTCCTTGGCATTGTTAACAAACATGGTCTCGTCCGCTCTCCTCTGAGGACTGGCTCATTTTAAGGGTATAAACTGTGGGAAGATGGGCCTGGAGTGCTAACTAGGATGAGCTGGAGGCAGCCTTTGGCACTGAGGGGTGCTGCTGGAGTTTGGGAAATGCCTTCTCCTCTCTGCCTGGAGGGGGAAGAAGCTCACATCTGGATTTCTGACCTTAACTTGGAGAGATATTACCTCCACCAGGGGCTGGGAGGATGCTTTGCCCTCAGCAAGGTTTGCTAAACTGGGAAAGGCTTCTTCCAAAGTGGCAGGAAGCAGGCAGACCCCAGTGCTGTCCCTGTGCTTGTCCAGCCCCTGGATGGCTGTGGTGCTGTGGAAGTCCCCTTGCAAAGGGCTTTGCAAGAGAAGGGGCACCCTGCTGACCTCATCCCATGCAGAGGATAAAGTTAAAGGTCACCAGGGAACATTGGTGCTGAGTTGGAAGCAGCACATCAGGGGTCCAGGTGCCCCCCGACTGCAGCTGCAGCCCCCCTCTGTGCCTGGAGGGCCATGGCATTTCTGTGGATGTTGTCCTGCTTTGCAGTACTCACCCAAGGGATGGTTTTGAGCACCCACATCTGTGCTCTCCTGCATCAGGGACTGCAGCAATGGGGGCAGGGGTGTCTGCTCTGCAGGGACATAGGGAGTGGACTGGTCCCTACCTCGGGGGAGTTTCTAGCCTGGCCTGACCTGGTCCTTTGAGCATCTGGGGGTATATTTTTAGGTGCTGTCCCCACTGCCTACCTTTGTGGGAAGGCAGCACTAAATCAGACGAGCGGCAGAGCCAGGTGATGTTACAGCCCCAGCAAGCTGCTGATTAAGTGTTAAATGTAACACTTTAAGACAATATATCCGTTCCCTTCCATCTGGAGTGAAGAAAAACTACTCAGCAGCAGCTCCCTACCGTTTTCCAGGCTCAGCCTCGTGACCCCAAGTACTGCTCCCTGCCAGGAGGTTTCACCTTTCTTGTCCCAAATAACTTCTCTCTAATTCCCCGTGTCCTGGATCTGCTGGCCCTTGCATGGTCATGACCCTCTGCCCAAAGGATTTGGTCTGCCCTTCCCTCAGCAAGGCAGGAAGGCTGCCCACCCACAGGCACTGGATGGAGTTTTGGCTGGTGTGTGTCCCCTGTGTCCCAGGAGCAGGGAGATAAAGCAGAATCATGAATGAACACGTGGATTTTGTTCTAGATGAGTGTGATCTCCCTCCCCCTGCAGAGATGGAGCTTGCAGAGCTTCAACCCTGACTAGAGGTCAGGCTCAGAGCAAGGCTGGGCAAAGGCATTTTAGCCTCATTTCCCTGTGCAGGGCATTGTTACCAGAGATTTTTGGGGGTGTGTACATCTGCAGGAGCCAGGAGCTGAAAGCCTTCTGGGGATCCCTTCTGGCTCCCTATCCAAGCTGGAAAACCGTCGCCAGCATACTGAAGCAAAGCCCTGACCCCAAAAAGGACACTATGGCTGTCAGGGTGTAGAGGCCAAAAGTACCAGAGATTCAGATGGGAATTGGGCACATTTGCACTCCCCAGCATGACCAGCCTTACAAATTATGGGGCAAAGAGCAAGGGTATCACTGAGGGCTTGTCACAAGCATCCAAGCACCTCTGCCTGCACTCTGCCTGACCACAGCAACCAGCAGTGTTTGTGCTCTCAGCCCCGATGGGACGGCATTCATCAGCCACAGGATGAAACCAAAGAGGAGGAAGCCAAATCTCAAAAAAATGCACCCTCTTTGAGCTGTCATTGCGTGGATTTCTTGCAGGGGCTCTGATGGCTGTTCTAAGGCAACACAGGAACCAGACTGCTGAGCTGTGTTTCCTAGGAGTTTGTGTGCTCTCTGGTGTCTAATAAGGGGTTAAGCTCATATGGCAGATTTTCTTTCACTATGCACTAGTGGGTTGTTATCCTGTGCTCAGGTATCTGTTGCCATGAAACTTTTCATGTTGGAGACCTCTAATCCAAGCTCAGTTGAAACTGGCCGAGGGATTTTACAGTCCTTTGGCAACACAGAGTCACGCACACACATTTATACACACGCACACAGGCACATGATCTGCTCCTTTAGGAAGGGGTCTAAGCCCAAGGATTTTCTCAGGTCAGATGGTCAACATAGAACTCATTTTGGAGAACCCAGCATATTAAATAAACTAACGCTCTTGCAAATGTTTAAGGGTCAAGGCTTGGTCTAAACCTCACCCAAATCAAAGGAGAGATGCAAGGCAGCTCATCCAGGCTTGGCACCAGGCTCTTTTTGGCCACAAGCACACAAGTGTGAAGCCCACACTCACCTACAAAGTCGTAAATGAGGTCCTTGATGAGGTGCCCGACGATGGCATACGCCACTGCCACCACCACCAGTGCTGCCATGAGGAGGTAGAGGACAGCCTTGGGCAGAGGAATGGCATCTCGAGGAGGGGGCTTGTACTCCTTGTAGAGCTGGTCATTGTCCGAGTATGAGTACTGGAACAAGTGGTCCAGGCCAGCTGTGAAGTTGCTGGAGTTCATAGACTGGCTATTGGACAGGTAGTTGTCCTGTTCAGGGTCCTGGAGGACACTTACCACCGAGCTGGTGGTGGCTTCCACTTGCTGTACCAAGTTCAGAGTCTTGTTAACGCTGGGGAGGATTTGGGAAAGGAAAGTGCTCCAATCTTTGATGGCACTGATGTTGCAAATAATCATAATTGCAATGAGGAGAGAGGTCTCCAAGCTCAAGAGACTTAAAAGGGAGAGAAAGATGTGAGAATTGCTGTGCTTACACCAAACCATGTACTGCAAAGCGGGCAGAGAAGGTCTGGATGGGGTATGTTTCTCATTAGCAAATTCTTACATGATCCGGTAGGGATGCATCTGTGGTACCTCGGTCTCACTCCTGGAAATGCCCACAGAAAACCCCTATGGGCATGAAGTTCCTTAGGAAAAAGTAGGTGCTGGAATGATTTTGACCGATATCATTTTTGTTCCTCAGCCGCCTCTCCCTTATGCTACTCACAGATGACAACCGAAGAGACAGGATCCTGTAGATATTTTCAGTCATCTGGAAAAGAAAGATAAATTGCCCTTCTCCAGCTTTTTTTCTTTTTTTTTTTTTTTTTTTTTTTTTTTTTCAGAGGCGATGGTCCTTGGAGAGACAGCAATCCCCCCTTGGCTCTGCCCCAGGCTCGGTCAGGCGCAAGGTGTGCGGTGCCGTCCTGACTCTCCCCTTAGCGCTGCCCAGAGCGTTCGCAGAGGATAAAAATGTTCAGACCCCACAAAGTTCAGCTGCTCCGGTGTGTGACGGAGGCGCGCAGCTCCTGGCCATTCCAGCTTGGCTTTCAGCAACTTCTTTTACCGGCATCTCCCGATCGATTCCTTTAAAAACAGAACCAAGTCAGAGACAACGAGCAGAGAGCCCAGCATCCAGTGCCTAGCCCAGCCCAGAAGCGGCCGGTCTCGGGTTTTACCTGAAAGACTTTTCCAAGAGAACAGATCCTGTCGCCTGATGCTCCAGCTTGTTTTATTCAGGGCTGGGCTCCCTGCGGAGCTCCCCGCCCGCAGCCGCCGATCCGGTGCCGCTGCCCGGAGCCGTGTGCGGGTGCTGGTGCACGCGTGTGCGTGTGTGTGCGGACACTCCTCCCCGGTCCTTCCCTCCTGTCCCTTCACCCTGCCGCCTCTTCGCAGCCTCCCCGGCTCCAGCAGCGAGGGGGATTAGCTGCCGGGAGGTTGGCTCCAAAACTCCTGAGCGTGCTGGGAAGCAGGCGATGCGTGGCGGGAGCGCCGGCTCAGCCTCCGCCGCTGCTCCCCGGGGAGTTAATCCTTTCGATGACAAAAGATGAGCTTTGATCCGTTCGCTGGATGTTCCCGGCGAGGTGCAGGGGAAGGTGGGGAGCAGCCGGAGCGCTCGCGTGGGTACCCCAGGTCCAGCCTTCCGCGGGCGCTGAGCTCAGCCTTTGTCTGGGAGCGGTGCTGCCGGCTGGGAGGAATCACATCGCGGGCGCTGTCGGGAGCGGGGAGGACATCATCGATCCCACCGCCAGCATCCCGCAGGAGCGATGCTCCCCACAGCCCCGCTCCCTCCCCGGCAGCCTCCGCCCAGCAAAGTTTTGGCTTTGGAGGGATGACTGGTTTGCAGAAAGCACGGAGGGTTTGAGGCTGAGCTCCCTCACCATCTCCCCTCCCTGCTAAGCTGTCTGTGCCAAATGGTAAGAGTCAGCCTGTCCTTGGTCACCTTGATAATGGTCTTAAACTGGTTCATGTTCCCGAAAAGTACATCTCCTCATCTGCCTTGGCGGTGGGATCTCTGGGATCACTGAGTTGCTAGCTTGGTTTGAAGAAGGCAGTGGGACATATTTAAAGAGGAGATAGAGGAAATCTTAGAGAGAGGGAAATTGTCTTTCTATATTTGAAGGAAAAAAAAAATCACAGGCCTTTTTTTTTTTTTTTTTTTTTTTTTTTTTTTTTGTGCTGCTTCCCCATGTAAGAAACAGCTGTCATGGGGACAAGGAAATCACCACATTAGGCCTGAAAGCAGCCAAATGGAGCTTCTGAGAAATAATAGCAAAAGATTAACTTTGCGTGTATGTGTGTGTTGTGTGTGTGTTACCAGCCAGCAGCAATCCTGCCAGCTGCCTGGGGGTTGGAAGAGTATAGAATAAAATGGCAACATCTCCTGTACAATAATATCACCAGGGTTTAGGTTGGTGATGAACAGATTGTACCAGCCCAGGATCAAAGAAATTGTGGAGGGAAAAAGAAACTATGGAACCCTCCCTACAATGTGCAAGGACCATGTCACAGTCACTTCTGGTGCCCAAGACCGTTGAACAGCATCCTAAAATTTCTTCTTACAAGTGACAGAGCTGTGCCTGGTTACAGAAGAATATCTGGGCAACTGCATGGATACATATCCTGCAGTAGGATAGGTCCTGATGTCCCCCTGTCCCAGCATCTTGATGTCCAGAGTTGGAGCTGCTACTCTGCCTCCAGAGCAGGGCAGGAGTCAGGAACTAAGGGCAAATGGCTCCTCTCTCAGATTCTCAGTCCTCCCACACGAGATTTTATCCTTTCAAGATGGAAAATATGGCAAGGTTATTTTTTTATAAGAACTTTTCAATGTGAGGTGAGTTTTGGGCTCTGTGCAGGGGTGGCACAGTGCAGTCTGTCTTTGCTCTGCTCAGATGCACATCCTTTGCCTGGGGTTCTTAGGAGGAAAAGAACAACCCCCAGGACATGGCCATGGTCGTTGGGGACCGAAGCTGCTCCAAAGCTGTACTTTCACCACAGCTGTTTGGTCTTAGCAGTTGCCATGGCACCAGTGCATCAACCAGAGGGAACAGGAGAGCATCTGGTCCAGGCTGACCCATCCCTGTGCCTGGCTTTGGCTGTGACTGTCCCAGGCAGGCTCCCATCATGCTGTACCCCTTTATTCCCAGGAGGGGATGGAGCTGGGTAATTTGAGGCAAAGGGTTTGCAAAGGTGTGTGTACCTGGGGAGATTAATCAGAGCTGAGGGCAACAGGGGAAGCTCTCTGTGAGCTTGGGGACAGCTGGTGACAACAGCCCAGACCTTGCTCCAGTGAGATACAGTGCAAACCCCCTCAGTTTCACAGACCTCTGTTGAGTACTTGTGGGAAGAAGCTGGAAAAGCACTTGGGGAAGCTCTGAGTTCTGCTGCAGACACTGACTCTATTAAAGGGGCTAAGGGCAACACCAACAAAATACTCCCCCACCATTTGTATTTCCCTGCAGCGGAAATAAAGTTGGCTCCTTTCATTTTCATTAACACCCTTATCAATTCAAAGTGACTAAATAGATGCTTAACTGTTCATTATACACTCTCTGCATCTCCGGTCTGAAAGGGAGCCTTCATTTCCACAATTATGGTTTCCAACCCATCACAGAGGGAGAGAGCATGGAGAAATACACAAGTGTGGATTTTAATAACCTTATATTTCAATCTCTCTGTTATTAAAAAAAATGTTTGCATTTACTGTGATGGGGGAAGATTAAAAGAATTGCCATGAATTCCACTTAGGGAACATTACTAATGATTTCAATAAATCACTTTAAATAAAAATCACAATCTCCACAATTCCATCCAAATGCCATTTGGCAGAGGGGTTGATTATGGGAACAAAATGAATTTCGGAATTAGCTGCTTGTCCTAATGCAATTGGACAAATTAAATTTAGGGATACACACATATCCAATGACATATATCTCATGCAGAAGAGCGGTGTTTTGGCCCCTGGGAAAAAGAACAAATTATGTTTTAGTGGGTCATGACAGATCTTGTCCCTCATGATGGATGTCAAGTGTTTGTTACAGCTATTTCCTTAGTATTTTTATTTTATGGATTACCCTCTGTGAAGCTACAGTCAAAGCACTGGTGTTTTATTTCCACCAAGGCAGGATCCAACTGACTACTGGGACATGACTTTAATAATTGTGTCCATGCAGAACTGAAAAACCACTCTGACACATCACTAGCAATGCCCAGAGCAGACAGTCTGGATTCCTGTCTGTGACTGGGACCAGATCCCAGGATCTCTACAGAAGGCAAAGCCCAGGTCCTACACCAGATCTGGAGATCTGACACTCTCCCAGTTCCCCTGCTGGCTGCATCTCCTCTGTTGTGACATGTGAGGGACAAGGAGGCCACAGGCTGTGGATGTGGCAGCACCTGTCAGGTGCAAACAGAGCTGTAGGGGTAGAGAGCAGAGCTGGAGTTTATTGCTGTGCACTGTGCCGTGGCTTGGGAAGGCTTTGTGTCTCTCCCTGGCTCAGAGCTATGCAGAAGTTGGCCGAAAATGTAGTCAGGAGGTGCAGCTCCAGCAGCAATACCTCCATCTGTACTTTTGAGTGAGACATTAGTCTGCCCAAGGGTCATTTTTACAGCCTGAAGGGTTTTTTTGCGTCTCTTTTCTGTGTGGGCTGCCGACTCCAAGCCCTGATCCCCACCAGAGAAACCACTGCACCTGGTCAGAAGAACAGGCACAGCAATTTACACCCTCATATGGCACAAGGTAAAGCAGTTCTCATCACAGCAGTCCTTCAAACCACTAAAATTTCAGCTATGCAGGGTGACGTTCCTATTCAGATGCTGGCTTGTGGGGGCTGCACAGCTCCTGCTCCCTTGCAGATCCTGCAGCCTTCCCCTGCTGACCTTCATTCATCCCTGGATGGGCCAGATGCTCTTCCCTGCCTCCCTGCCTGGCTGTGCTCAGCTGCTGCACCACACCCTGGAGCACAAACTTCATTTCTAAGCAAATTTCAGACCTATACCAAAGTTTTGACAGCAACCTTCCAGCATGACAAGAAGTTGTGAAATTTAGGCTTATCCTGTATTCCCATTCCTGGCATTCATCTTGCCCAGTGATTTCTGCTTGAACAAAACAAACAAACAAGGAACAGCAGCAATTTTTAGCAGATGAATCAGAGTGAGCTATCTTTATCTATCTATATATAAAAACACCTTCTTAAAAACATTTTTTTCATCCTGTATTATTCATGTACCTAAAGCTGAAGAAGTCCAGATTATAATAATAATAGACGTAATAAATATGACATATTAAATGCAGTTCCTAGGAAGACTGTTCCCTATCTGCTGTCTCTGGTAAGCAAAGTAGGGTTTTAACTCTGCGTGTGGCACCATCTCATGGACAGCTTGGCTTATTCAAAGGACTTGAGAGGCTGAAGGCAAGCACAAAATTATCCAGCATGAAAAGCTTGCTTCATGAAAGAAAGGGGAACTTTTCCCAAATAAACAAACCCAGGGCAGCAGGAGTAGTTGCAGTGGAGGTGAGGAGGGAAGAAATGAATTACATGTTTTGTTTGCATCCCTAGAAAGTGCTGCTTGGACAGAAAATAGGTAAAAATAGCTGAAAAGCATTTGTAGGGATTATCTGTGAGTAAGTCTGACACAAAGCAGAACAGGAAGGCCTCATCCCAACAGATGGGAAAGTACTGTCTTTCCACATCTCTTTCCACTCACAGCTTTGCTATCCTGAAATACAGTGAGAACGTGAGCCAGGCTGTGCGCATCTGACACCTCCCAAAGCCTCTCAAAGGGATCTGGAGGGAGAAGCTGGCAGTCTCTACATTTTCTATCTTCTCTAAGCTGGATATGTAGATCCAAAAAAACCACCAAAACAGCAACCCCTCACCTGCTGTTTCTTTCAAGCAAAGTGGAGAAAAAACTG